GCGACCTAACCGGAAGAAGATCGCGAGAGCACCCTTCTCGCCGACTTCGACGCACTTTGCCCGAGCGTATCTATTTCCGCGCATTATACCCGCGCTACGTGTGTCGCCGGCGAATTTCAGCTTCTTATTGAGAGGCGAGCGTGCCTGTGTGTGTATGTGTGGCGTGTACACACGTGAGCACGACCGCGCGCGCGCACACACATACACAGACAGAGCCGTACTATCCAGCGGAGACGTCAGCCACTGGTCTGGAAGCGCCGATAACCACGTACCGTGTTCAATGCCCGAATTCGAAATGGCGACAGCCCCTCGTCGCGCAATTTCGTTCCGTCGACGGCTTCCAAAGCGAGCTTCCGAACGGACGAGTCCCGCGCCGCGCCGCACGCGACTCCGCGCTCCCCGGTAATTCCCGCAACGGCTCTGGAAATCAGAATCTTCTCCGCGAGCGGTCACGTACGCGGGATGTCCGGCACTCCCGTGGAAAATACGGACTCGGCGCCGATTGCCAGCCGTCGCGCGCGGCCCCGTCCGCGGCAAAATGAAATAAGCGAGAGGCGAAGGAGAATCCAACGCGGCGACGATGCGGCCGCGATGCGACCGAGTCGTCGGCGACGATTCGCGAGAAAACGTCGGGACGGCCAAACCGATGGAAAATGGACGTTCTACGGGAAACGTTCTACGGGAAGCACGAGCCGCAAGAACGGCTCCCTCGCATCTACTTTCCGCATGTTCCTGTCGTCCCGTCGCGCGCGCGCATCTTCTTTGCGTCGAACAATCGCGTCGCCTTGTTCGCCTTGTTCGCTGAGAGAGAGAGAGGGAGTTTCCGATGAGAGGTTTCGGCGGGGTTTCCTACAAGCAGCTTATCAGTTTCATCATCGCGATGAGATACGCGGCACTCGCGGGGACCGCTGTGGAGGAGGCAAGCCAAAAGCCGGTAATCGACGAGATAGCGATTTTCCAGAGAGCGCTCAGCTAAAAGCAACAACCGCGACGATTGCTCGCTCCTCCCGCTCCCTCCTGCGGGATAAGCCGAAAGGCGATAATTGATAATACAGCGTTTTCTTCGCCGGCGAAACGCGAACGATTAATACGGCGGACCGACGCGGACGCGACGCTTCCTCGAGGTAGCGCGCGCGTCCTTTCCCACCGCGGCGGCCGATCGCGCGGGAAATATCTCATTAGCTTGGAAGCTAAATGCCTATCTCGAGTCGCTCGAGGAAATAACATCGCAATAATATCGCGTTGTAACCGCGCGGCGCGTTCGCCCCGAGCGAATGACGGGGAGCGGCATCAATCGACGTTAATGGATTAATTTCCAGCGAACAATAGCAACAATCTGCCGCGCGCTGGGAAGCGCGGCGTTACACCTTTCGAGCGCCCTGTCCCGGGGACGTTCCGAGGGCTCCGGGAGAGAGCCTCAGCAGGTAGTCGATCCGTCCTGTCGGATGCGCGAGAGATCGCGGCGAGAGATCACGCAGGGCTCTCCCGTCTCGGAGAAAATGCAACGTCGCGTTGCGTCGGCGAGACGAGGCGAGGCGAGGCGAGGCCTGCTGGCCGCAAAGAGCGTGCATAATACGGGCCCCGGCATTGTGTCCCCGGTGTGTGCGAGACAAGGGATGCGGAGCCGAAGGAGGCGTTAATCGCATTGAAAACTGACCCTGCGTGTCCGACTTGGTCCTTGGTCCCGCGGTCCTGCCTCGCCGTCACACAAGCAACCGGAATCGCGCTCCTTCACGCTGAAATCGCGGAAAAGTGCGGGAATTCGCCGCGGTACGGATTTCCTCGGGGAAAGCCTGTCCCAGGGTGACAGGCTGCCTGGGCTGGCTATTGGGCCCGCAGAAGCCGTCGGTGCGACCACGTGGAAGCGGTTGGACGGAATCTCCACAGCTGCGCGCGACCGCGGCGTCTTGGTCGTCGACAAGCGGGGTTACTCGTGACTTTTTCCACGAGCTCTGTAATACACAGGGTGTCCCGACGCGACGTCGGCGCTCCCGTCTTGCCGTCGTAGGATCTCGGAGTAACGAGAGCGCCCGTCGGCCGATCCTCAGGATGCGCTCGAGACGGTGACGCTCCTCGCTTCGTCGTGAGCGATTGGAGCGGCGATTAATAAATATTAGATCCGACGCGAGGCAAGGTGAAGCACAGCGCGGCGGCGAGGGGCGGCGCGACATCGGTTCCGCGGGAAATGAAACTAACTCGGATTTCAATTAAAATCCGCGCACAATGAAGTCGCATGGCGGAAGAATAACACGGTTCTACCCATAATCCTTTGTTGCCAGTGTCGACGGCGAGGAGGGAACGAGCGCGCACGTTTGTACGACGTGAATCCGCGAGAGCCCGACCGCCGGCGCTTCCTCAGGGCGAAGAAATGCCTCGAAAACCGGAAGACCCGGGGAACTCCAATTTTAATTAATACCGCCGAGCAAACAGCGCGCGTTCCCGCCCAAACCCATTGTTATCCTTGCAATGCGCATCGGCCGCGCCGAAACGATACAAGCGCTCTGCCGCTCTATGGATTTACTCGGCGAAAGTCCGCCTCCGCTGCCGTCGGAATGGCAGCTAGCCGAAAATGCTGAAGCGTCTGCGAGAAACAGCCGAGATGCTCGCGATGTTTCGCAGTGAAAATTACGAAAAATATTCGCCAAGGTAACGTACAAGGCATCCGCACAAGGCAGAAAAGGATCGCAGGGAAGCGCTTATTTTTCTATACGCGTAAATTAAATAATTCTCACGTAAAAATGCAAATTTTGTACACAGCAAAAAGCAAAAGATTCAACAATTTTGAAATCCGCGTCGATTTCAGGGACGAAAAATTACAAGTTATTTTACGTACTCGTATACGTACACATACACCAGCCAAAAATAATTATTTTTTCCGTTCATGAAAAATAACAGTCGCATTTTATCAATGATAGGGACGCGTTACTAACAATTTTTAATTGAAAAGGTCGTCAATGTGTATTGCAGTAGTATTTATTTAACGTACTAATTATTTTCTATCGATTTTATCTCTTTAATATTTGTCCTCTTCATCGTCGATTTCAAATAACACGTTTCCCATCGATAAAATTCATAACATTCGCAAATTTAAATCTGACTGAATATCGATGTATTTTTATTTTTGCCGCGACAGTTTCGATCGTGTTTGGAGAGAGTTTGCTCATTTTCTTCGAGCGACTAAATATTCACCGTAATAAACGCCGCACGCGCAACAACGGCGAGAACTATCCGACGGCCGTGGGTGAGAAGCTGCAATGTTTAACAGCGCCTACAATGGGCGCGAGATCGCACACCTATTGCAGATTTCGATCTTCCCGGGCTTGACTCAAAGAACACGCCGTGAATCGCAGAAACATGCCGAATGCGCGCTCATTGGCATGCCGTCGCGCAGAATTACAGTCACATTAACACACAAAGAAGACTGTGCGGGTCGCCGCCGTAGTCATCCATTATTCATCAAACGGGCGAAATAAAAACGAGCGCGCGCGCGCACGCGCGACGATGACCGGCGCGCCTTTTTGTTTCCTCTTTCTTTCCAAATGCTACATACAAACCGCCGCTCTGGAGAGAGCGGCGTCATTTCGGCGGCGTCGTTCGACCGCCGAGATAAATCTCGACACCCGATGCATCGCGTCCGCCCCAGCACGGTCGCGCGCGCGCGCGACATTGTAATATGCATGTAGGTACCAACGGCCTGAACCAGCCTGAACTCGACCCTCGCCCCGGACCCTGAACCGGCCGGCCCTGATGTATGCAACTGCGATGCAGTCGTCAGCGGAGCCGCGATATATGCAGCGCTTGCCGACGTGTGTGTGCGCGACACACTCAATCGCGTGGAGAAGCCACCTACCGTGCGAATTCTCGCAGGTGTTAGAACGGCAAAAGGCCAAGGAGCCGCGGCGAGGAACCAAGCAGGAGGAGGAAAGACGTGGTGGAGGGTTACGTGCGAATGCATCGTGACTCGCGAATGCATCGAGAAACCGCGGGAAACCGCGATGCTCGCCGATGCGGCCAGCGCGTTTGACTATGGACACCGGTGTTACGTGAATCGCCCATTGTGGCCGGATAAAGAGGAAGAGGGGAGGAGAGGAGGGGAGCGGTGAGAGAGAGAGAGAGAGAGCGAGGGGCAGGAGGAGAGAAGGAAAGAGAGGAGAGCGTGGAGTGGGTGGTGAATGCGGCCTACAATGGCATTCCCGATCTCTTCGAGAGAGAACACGTGGCCGTAGCGGGACGTAAAAGGATATACATTACCGCGCGTACCGCCCGCGGCGACTCTCGCCGCGGCCCTTTAACCTGAACAGATTGGAGAACGCGTATGGGATACGGCCCGGTACGAAAAGCACACTAATTTTCAGACGCTACCCGAGCACCACCAGTCATTACCGCGGCAAGCGACCGCGGGGGGCGCGTCGCCTTACGCGTCCTTACGCTGATTAAGCATCCTGCGAACGCAGGACATATCGGGCGTAGCGCGATATGGGAGCGAAGTGCGCCGCTGCTCGATTCGTTTTCGGACGGCTCTGATGGACGCGGCTGATGAATATTTTAATTTTCGACTTGCGCCCCCCGCGGTCACAATCAGCAACAGTCGTCGACCATCGCGATGGACACCCTCATGCTCCTTGGTGCATTTTGGCTGGCCCGGAATAAATATAATTTTCTTCGTGTCTTTTCACTGCGAAATGTTCACTCGATGCTTGAATGTTCTGCCGTAACTTTGAGATATTTTCGTACTTCGTCATGTCCCCGGATACAAATCTGACTCTCTCCCTCTCCGGCGGTCGACAGTCGCCGAGACACGCGAAAACACTTGTAAACATTTTATCAGTGTCCTCGGCACAACTGCCGGATCGACATGTATACCGCTGGTACAGAACATGTCGATTCGCCGAGTTCGCCGAGTACTCTGAGTTTCGTGTAATATTTCAAAATCGATATTAACAAGTACAGTATTTTGCAATATACAGACGTCTGTTGTACACATATAGACACACGTAGACATGGCAGAGGTATGTGAAGTGAATGGATATCTTCAACCCTACACGTACCTTGATTACAATCAGTTTTTCCATCCGAACGTTTGTCACGTTTGCAAATCGGTAGAGCAAGACAGCTTGACGTTATGCGATCGGTGCAACATGATCTCTTACTGCAGCGAGGAACACAAAAGGCTGCACCGGCCGCAGCATGAAGATATCTGTACATTCATGACAAGATTCATCAGTGAGGACCCAGATTGGAACACTCGCCGTTTGTATCTCTACGAATGGATCGACTTACAGAGAAAACTGATGCGAATCGCGCAGGTCACACTGGGACGTAAATTGGAGCCGTACGAAGAGCAAATGTTTATGTCCGCGAAATCGTGTTTCACATGCCATCGACGGACTGACTTGATCACGTGTGACAAATGCATATTGTTCAATTATTGCGTCGATCATGTAGCAGAAGCATACACACACACCTCGTCCATCTGCGATCTGCTCATGCTGACCCTCAAGCTAGATATTATATCTCTCAAGCAAACGACATGGGACTTAGTAAATATCAAATTTTCTACATTTCCTAGCAAGAAGAAGAGGTTTACTGACATGAGGTCATTTTGCAATCGATATTTCCCGACTCGTAGCGGAGATCATTATTGGTGTCTTTATGATCACACTTTTACGGATTTCGTATCGGAGCCGTTGACGTTGTACAAGGGATTGCAAACTGCAAATTTATTCCGTCCTAAAGAGGTAGTGGACACCTTCACTGTTCATATTATAGGCGCGAGCTATGTGAATAGACGCCATTTCCCAGCTTGGGAGCTGCTCCTGCATCTCTTAAATAAGAGAAACAAACTGGTGATCGTAATGATAGGACCAGATCTACAAATGGAAACTAAGGAGCACAACGTTTGCTCCCTTTGCAAACTAGCAAGGAGGAAACTCATTCTCGAATCCTTTCCCCTGTTGTATCACAATTATATGTTTAATGCTTCTTATAGGCAGCCGAATGTGATAACAGGATTTCAAGCGGAACTTTATGTCGATGAAACATGGCCGGAATCTATAAGAGCGATACAAACTCAGAACTGCCCGTTACTGTTAACTGCCGCATCACTATATGAAATTCAAAAGGACATGATAAAGATACAAAATATTGTCGGCAAACCTGTAAAACCTATTGTTGAGACCAGAAATAAATTCAACTCCTATAGACCGTACAGAAACTTTGAAGCGGGTTACGTGTCGTATCGTAACATGTATTTAATTATCTACAAAAATTTATATAACTGAACCGACATACTCCAAATTAATGGCAGTTCCTACGTACGATCGTGCGTTTACCTCTTTAGTATTGCAATACCTTTAGTTTACAAGCCGAGCACTCGGTCTTACATATGTATATTTTCTATCTTTAATATATTTACGAATAGTGATAATAAAAATATGTTTTGTTGCAATTACATTATGTTTCATTCCGTTGCCCTGACACCGTTGCCGTGCGCGAAACAGTTAAATGATCTCTTCAAATGTTCCTGCCTAATCCTCCCAACGATCAAATCATAAAATAATACACACGTCACAGTTTATCTTTGTGGTTACGTCGAGGTACGACTCAAATCGTCAACACTTCTCGAGATTTGCGAAAACATTCGCAAATATTTAGCGTTCTCCGCACAAGCGTCGAATCGATGTTTACACTGCTGCCTACATTATTTCTAAATTGATATTACAAATATTCATGTAAGTAAAATATTCATGTGCAATCCATTGCATATTGGCACAGCCGGAATCTATGAAATATGCAGGTATCTTCTACACCGAACGCATCCCTCGATTACAGCGAAATGAATATTGATGCATTGTTGTTTATTACGTGATGAACGGTAATGGCGTTCCCGCAATAATTTCATCGCGTAAACTAGTAAGAACCAATAAGATCCGATTGCGGTTTGCCGATTGTGTTTCGTCTTGTTCGCGTTTTTCCCTTTTTTCTTCAACTCAGACATTACTCCACACCCTCTCTTTTTTCGTATATTTATAGCGATAATTTAATTATAACGGGCCGATACGTTCGGAATTTTTTTTCTTTTTCAGGAGAATCCCTCCGAATTTATTTATTCCGTTAAGCGTTACGCGACTGTTGCGCGTCGTGTGACTTGAAAATCTCGAGCCATCGGGCACTGTGAAAGCCCTATGAAAGCCGCACTAATTTCCCAATAATGGCCAGCGCTGACCCGTGTATGGCCGCGGGAGGTCTGCGCGATGATATCGAATCCCACCGCGAGAGTCTTTGGCCATCAGGTATCGAAACGCGTTACGCCGCGCTCTTCCCGTCCTGTAATCTGTATTCGTAGAATCATAGATTCGATTTAAATCTGAAGGACCAACCCTTTAGAAATCCCGCTCGAATCCATCGAGGAACGAGCCGCTCGTTAAAGCGGCTATTCTCCTCCTGTCCGGTTAAACTCACTCAATCGGCCGTTGAGCCATTATCCTTCAACTTGATCCCGCTAAACCCTTAACTTGAAAATCCTACATCGAGTTTATAATATTACAGACTGTTAAGAACCGGCGTATACACGGGGCGTTTTCTTCCCCTTCGACGCAACGTACTCGAGTCGCGCTTGTCTACGGTACGATAGCAGGCGAAAGTTCAGTTGAGGTCGGAACTAAAATAACTTAATAACTCATCCGGAAAGCGCTCTAAATCTCGTCCAACGGTCCGCGAGCGTCGAGCACGCGAGCGCAAGAAACGTACGTTTTTCATCCACGTAATCGAGAATGCGGTTCAACGAGGAGCACGAAATAACAACAAACAGTAACCAACGGCATCGCAAACTCGCGGAGGCGAGCATGAACGAGGGAAAGGGTCGCGAAGCAGAAGCGCATCGGCGAAACGCGAGAGTAGCGCGTCGAAGTCGGATCCCGGCTGCAGCAGGACGGCCGACGAAATCCCCTCGCTGTGTTTTGTACAGCTGACGGGGAAGGCTGCGGCTGAAATATTCCGGAGAGATCGAGCGAGTCGATAGCGATTGTCACACGAAGTCACTCCGCCGTGAGCGTCGCGACTCTAAATCGTTCGGGCGGAAGAGACGAAAGATGGAGGAGGATTGAAGCCTGCGCGCACGTTCGGGTGCGCGTAGGCTCGAATGGAAGTGTCTCCGGAAGGCGAAAGTGAAGCCCGCAAGCCGGGGGGTGGATATTCCGAAGTAGACAGTCGGGACAACCTTGGGGAGATTACACGGCCCGTTGAAGTGCGCGGACTTCAAATTATACACAGCGCGGTTCGATGCGAGTATTCTTCGTAATTCGATGCGAGGACGCATCGGTCGCTCGACCGTGTTCGAGAAATCGAATCTTTGGTTTTATCGACTCTTCCTCGCACGCGGAGAGAGTTTCAGCAAAATCAACCGGTCTTTACGTCGAACGGCGAGAATCTGTGGGTGCAATAAACTGAGAATTCTACTCGAGAAATGATCTCGTAAATACGAATAAACAAACGAACGCTCGGATCGTTAGATCGCGCTCGTTGCGTATACAAATAATACAAATAATTGTCGACTCGACCTGTTCGAGCGACAGTTGCGAGGAAACCGTTCGAGACGCCGCGAGGCGAGGCGAGGCGAGGTGACAATCGAGCCCGACGAGAGAAGACGCGCTTATGCTCCCGCTTATTTCGCAAATCCCGGCTATTGTAGTCGCTTAAATGGTCGACCAAGTGTATCCTTCCCCCGACCGGGGATCGCGGTGACACAATGCTCGGTATCATCGAGGCCTGTTTACATAACCCGGCATCTGTCACAACTATTTGTGTCCGGAGACATAGATTCCTTCCTGAGGCTCCGACCTCGCGGCTTAAGCTGTCGTACCTTTTGTCGCGCTACCGGGCTCTACCGTCCCTCCCCCCCCCTCTCTCTCAGTCTCTCTCTCTCTCTCTCTCTCCTCATGATCATGCTCGAGTGCTCCGGATCAGCAAACACACGCACAGGCGCGTTCTATTCCGCGAGATTTCGTCGAGCGCGTCCCTCGTCTCTGATGGGTTTTGTATATTTTTGTTTTCAAAGCAGCCGCTCCCCGCGGCCCCGCGGCTGAGTCGACGGGACGCTATGAGCATCCTGTGAGATTTGTCGAGCACGAGGACGGCGCGGATTTGCCGGATCCTCCCTGCGATTGGAAGAATTGTAGAATTCGCGAGATCTACGACGCGACGTTCTCGAGTGACGCGCGATCTGCGCGTTTCGCCTTTCGCGGAAGGGACTCGCGAGGAGCGCGGATTGATCCGTAGGATTTTCGAGACTCCAGCTCCCCGAGTGCTCCCACACACCGCCCGTTTTTCCATTTCTCCCTCGAGCTCTGGGAACCCGGCCTCCTTTTAATTTCCTGAGGCTTGTCAGCCTGCTCGAATCATTTGACAAATCGCGTGAATCGTTCGCGCATCTCGCTCTCGCAACTAAGCGGGCCGATCGATTTTTTAGCCTCGACTGTCCAAGCCGATCGATCGACTAAAAATCGTCGCTGTGTTTTCCCGCGCGATCAACCTGCTCAAAAATCAGAGAGCCGTTACCGCTCACAGCCTATCACTATCCGTATACCTGGCACGGCTTGATTCACGACTGGCTTTACAAAAGCAAATGGTAGACAGCGGACGGATTGCGGATCAAATTACAGGCTCGGCATGCCCGTAGACACACGTACACATATATATGTGTATACATGTCTGCATGTATATCGGGTTGTACACAGGGTGGCTCGAACTTAGCGCGCGACCTTCCCGGCCAACTTTGGGAGCGTTCCCAAGGGAGGAAGAAGAAAAGCGATCGGCCGGAAAAGCCGAGACACGCGGAGATAACGAGCGCAGGAAAATTAAAAACTTTCGGGCCGAGTCAATCGACGGCGCGAGCCCTTTATTCAGGCGAAAATCTAACGTGTGGCCAAACAACTCGAGAACTCAGACGAGCACGAACGGGAGCTAACAGAGCCGGGACGAAGTGTTGCGCAACGATCCGAAGGATCCGTCTCTGAATCCACGAGAGGAACTTCGCGGCTGAAAAGTTGAGCGCAGGTCACCGTGTATATGATGGGATTACAATACTGCACCTATACGCCCTTCATTATATCGTAGTGCCGCGGCATTATGTCGTCGACTCGACTGTCTCACCGCGGGACAATGACGCATAACTCGAATGATAAATCCACCGATGGCGGTGTCGCCGATGACTTATGCGAAGTCGAAGCTCCCAGCGACAAACAATGTTCGCGTAGCGCGACGATAAATATCGATACGCGTCGCGCGATCCTGCCGCTCGAGCCGGGAGTTATCACAGTCTTCTTGTAATAAATAAACGCGGGCCTCGGACAACACCTGAAATATTGATATCGCTGCGCGAATTTTCTATCGCGCTTCGATTTCGACTGATTCAGCACGTTAATATCTCTCGCGACGAATTACGCACGGAGACGTGTCGCGAAATCGCTCTAATTGGCGACACACCTCGTGGAGACACGATTTCGAGACAACTCTGAATTTAATAATAATTCAATCATTTGACATGTCAGTGTCGATTTAAATTAATTTTTAAATTATTCTCAGCGTTTTTTTAATTTCTTTTAATGGGAACGACTTGAACCGTTTCAAACCGCGCGATTTTTCTCATGTTATGAAGCTCGTTAAGATTTGACGAACCGCAGTAAGGTAAAATTAAAGCGAGAACTGTGAATTACATTGAAGCAGGCTGCATATCAAATTAAGAACAAGCCTATTTTCCGTAAACTCGGAGCGGACGCGCGGAAAACGATCGCCGTGAAAAGTAAGATTTCGGGAGGAAACAGAATGCGACAAAATGTCAGTGTAAACCGAGTCGTTTCTCAAACATCCCAAGCTGTGGTACACTTCTCGACGCGAAGATACGCGAGGCGAGAGAAAGGGTGTGGTGGCGTGAAACAAAAGATACGATACGAATAAGTGACTCACATTTTGCATGCCGCTGCTGTAAAGAAGTGCGAAGGGACTATTACGAAAAGTTACCGCGAATATCGGAGAGAGGAAGCCCGACGGTTGCCTCGCGAAATTCGAAATATATCATTCGCGAAGTTCGCGGAACTCGCGCCGCGCGGCGCGGCTGTATAAATATACATCAAGCGCTTCTAGCCGGCGCGGCCTGTCGATCGATGAAACATTTCGATTTTTCCCGCCAAGATACGACTCGCATCTTCAGCGATCCGCCGCCGCGCATGCAAGTGCGTCCGCCCGGCTGTATACGTAACTTGGCTGGGAAACGCGTAACTTCCGC